GCCTTTCCTGGTCCCCCAGCCACCCGTCCTGGGTGCTGTGGCAGCATTCCACCTCTACCGCTCTTGCAGAAACTTCAAGCCTGGCACAAGGCTTGTTGGTGCTCACGGCCCGACCAGACCGCAGGGTACATAGGAGTGGGGCTCACGCCACCTTAATCTGGGCACCTGTCCTCGGGGCCTGACATGGGCCCTGCTATTTAACACTCATCATTACACACTTGACAAATGTGTTGACGTCTGCCACAGAACCACGCATAACTGCTGCTCAGCTTCGGCTTATCATCACTAACTACGGCTGTGCCAGGATCCACACCCACTGTACCCTGTTGGCTCTACTTTTATTGGGAACTTAGGGGCATTTTCTGTTGACAGATCATTTTCATTTAAAGAAAATATGTTTTTATTGATTTTTTTTTTACAGAGAGAGGAAGGAAAAGAGAGATAGAAACATTGATGTGAGAGAGAAACATCAATGGGCCGCCTCCTGCATGCCCCCTACTGAGGATCGAGCCTGAAACCCCGGCATGTGCCCTGGCCGGGAATGGAACCATGGAACACAATATGCTGAGCCACACCGGCTGGGCAGATCATTTTCATGTAATAAGGTCGAGTAGACTCAATTTTCCATACTTGCAGGATGCTACTCTAATTATCCTTCCTTAGAATAAGTGTGTGAACAATATAAACATACACAACACTTGCAAAGGTTGGGTGGGGGGTGGGGGTGGGGGACTCAGCTGTTCAAATGAGCTCAAACCAGTGGGTTTGGTGGAACCAGTGGTAATTAGACAGGGTTTATTAGCTGTTGTGATTACTTGGTTCCTAAAGTTATACCTGGTAAGTCACTTTTAAAAGAAATTTCCTCTTTGAAAGGACAAACGGGTCGACCAATGGAACTAAAGCCCAACATCAGATGGAGACCCACAGCTGAAGTGCATGCAGCAAGGTCAAGGTGGAAGGAGTCATGCTCAGCCTCTCTGAAGAGTTTGTCCAATCTATGACAATAACCAGGAAAACAGACGGAATTAAATTGCTTTTAAGTTCAGAATGCGTGGGACTTCTCAATGACGTCTCAATGCCGTCATATATCAGAAGGAGAAGAGTGGTCATGTCTACCATCATTGCAGCCTTTGTATCATGAACCACACAAACCCGCACTGACCCGCAGTGAGAAGCATGTCCCACTGTTCACACAGGCCCGATGAAAATTGGTCCTGGAACACCAAATTCTGTGCAGGACAGACAATAGGGCAATAAAACAAAAGAACATACAGCTAAAGTACTGTGAAAACTTATAGTTAAAATTTCCCACTTGGTAGACCTTGCCCTGGACCCTAAGGAGATTACAGGAACTAGGTAGGAGGGAAGGAGATGGGCATCAGTCAGAGCTGACCACTATATTGTGCAAATAGAACTGCTCACCCCTCAGACATAATGGCTAACCTCAGATGTTCGCTTCTGTACATGCTTGCTTAGCCCACTTTCTTAACAGGGGCTAAGAAAACTATATAAGCAACTCACCCCCTGAGCTAGGGGCTGCTCTCTCCTCTGCGTAGATGGGACAGTCACGGCGCGGCTTATAAAGCTCTCTTCATTTGAACCCAGTTCGGAGTCTGAGTCTGGTCTGTCTCGTTGGTCTACAACAATTCAACTTCTGCACAATCCGGTTTCTAATTGGAAAAAGCCCCAGTTCTAATGAGTACAGATTGTTGCCTGTGGCTCTCAACCACTACCCAAGGCTCAGACCCACAGAAACTGAACAACAGGCAATGCACCAAATCTTGTCATAAGACACCCCAAAACCTATACTCAAAAAGGCAGCACAGCCAAACCTGTGTGTGCTCATGATACCCAGGTGAACTGACCCTCAAATCTTGTTGCATCCATGAAAATCAGCACCCCCACAGCAGGGAAGTCTTTTGACAACTATGTGGGTGGTACCTTGGACAGCACCTTGCAGCTCACTGGAGACCCTCAGAGAGCAGCCCACCCCACCCAGATGAAAACAACAAACTGGGGGAGGGGGGGGGAGTGTTGCTTTGGCCATCTGGGGGAAATGGAGATGAGGCAGGAAGAGCAAAGGGTAAGCTAGTCTGGAAACCATGTCCACACTATCGGCCCCAAATGACTGCTACCGAAGACTTCCTTCTGGGGTTCCTGTCTTGCACAACCACCAATCTTGGTAGAAACTATTGTTTCCAGAACACCTTTCACATACGTTATCCAACAATTTTCAAAACAACCCCTTGTGGGAGTTACTGCTCTCATTTTTCAGATAATGGAACGGAAGCTCAGAGAGGTTAAGAAACCAGCCAGAGGTCACACAGCCATGGAGTAAGCTAAGCTTGGTTTCAAGCAGAGGTCCTTACCAGATCTCTTCACTGTGCTGCTTGCCTTTTCTCTACACGAGCTGGGACTTTGGGGAAACCGCAATTTCTGGGGACAAAGTTGTGCCCCTGACTGCTGGGGTAGCCTCCAGCTGAGCAGATGTATCAGGAGATGAGGCTGTGGGGTGCTACTGGAGGAGTGCACATCAAAATGCTTACATGCCCAGGGATGTGTAAAAAAATTCCCCAAAGAAGCCCAGAACCAGATTTGAGGCTTCCGGCTGTGCCACCTGCCAGCTAGGGGACTATGGGCAGTTTGCTTGGTTTTCCCAGACTGTTTTCAGATCTGAAAATGGCATTCAGATCACTGTGCTGGCTACCTCGGGGAGTTTGGGGGAGCCTTCCTGAGGACATTCCAGGACTACCTTGTGGGTGACAGGGTCTGGGGAATGGCACAGCACTGAGGTCCTTCGGGGCTTCTGAAATCCGGGCTGGTAGGAGGTGGGGGGTAGACATAGTGGGTCCGAATGTCCCCCCTCAGGGACCTGCCAAGGCCTCTCAGATATGATGCTGGAAAGGCAGAGGAGAGTGGATGCCTCTCCTGCAGGCTGGGCAGGAGGCATCGTCTCTTTTTTATCTAAATTAAAAACAACAGTGGGGAGAATCAACACTACTTTACATCTTTGTGAAGCCATAGTGTGTGCCCCTCCCCATTAGAGACATGGAGAGGGGAGTCCTTCCCCCGGTTCCCTGGGGGCCAGCTTGAGGGATGGAGCCCTGCTCCCTTCTCCTAAGGTCCTGGGCCACCGGAGGGAGGACGTGCCTCGCACACCTGTGTCAGCTCCGCGCCTCTGCCTGGGGACACCCTATGGGCTACTCCTCTGTTGCCGCTGCTCTTGGGTTCTTCTGGGGCCTGAGCTCTGGGTTTGAGCGGGGCTGTAAGGCCTTCATCTGTGGGAAAGAAACTATGTATATTCCCTGGGGCTACTTGGTTCCCACTGGCGGTGAATACAACCTACCACAGCCAGGGGATCCCGAGGGGCAGACCCCCAGCTCCTTTGGGCAGGACACCCCTGGCCATCAATCTCGGGGATCGGGTTCTCGGGCCTTAAAATATCAGCAACATTCCCTGTGAATTGAGCACTCACCTTAGGCTTTGCTTTCACATTCACAAGCGCGCAATGAGGTCCTTACAACAGTACCACGGGAAAGCTATGGACTGTTTTCCCCGTTTTACAGAGGAGAACTCTGGCTTAGAGAGGGGAAGGGACTTACCTAAGGCCACACAACAAGCACAGGGTACATCTAGGATTAGAACCCAGGGGCGTCCTCAGAAGCTTCCTGCCCTAGGTCTCTGCTGTCTTCCTGCGCATGGCTCTTCCCTCTGGGTGCCCACCCTGGACAGCGCAGTGGGTCCGGAGAGTCACAGTGCCCTGGGGGTGGGGGCGAGGGTTTGGCTAACTCTAGGACCGGGTCTGGAGAGCCTCCTGCTGACCCTCGGGCCCAAGGGCCCCTGGGGTGGCCCTGGAATTTGGATCTCGCAGGAAACCTGCTCCAGCCCTTGGCTACCTGGAAGCAAACAAACCGCGCGCAGTGCACACTGTCCGGCTTCTAATCCCGGGGAAGCGCACCCCTCGCCGGTCAAGGAGATACGCGCAAGCCCTAGAGTATCTTTCGAGCACAAAGCACAACTTTTCAAGGTTCTGGGAACCAGCGCTCGTGCACCCCAATCCCCGCCAGAACAGAGGTAAGAGGTGCAAGACGAGGGTCCTTGCAAAGTTGGAAGCAGGCGGGAGCAAGGCTCCCGGGAGCAGAGCCCGCCTCAGGCCCCCCACCGAGGGTGGCTGGCAAAGCGAACAAGTCCGCCATTTCCCTGGGCTCGCAGGTGCCCTACCTCAGAAGACCTGGGCAGGGAGAAAAGCCTAAAGTTCGGGTTGGGCAGGTGCACAGATCCCCAGGGACTGGCGTCCCCCAGCCTCGGCTGCCCGCGGTGGGTAGCAAGCGGTGCCAAAGGTTCCGCCATTAACGTGGGCACACAGCTCGGAGCGGAGCGCGCAGCTGGAGGAGAACCCAGGAGCCTGCAAAGTTGCAGCGGGGTGGGCGCAAAGACCCCCAGGGCCGGAGCCCCTGCCTGGGACCGCCCGTGGGGAGGGGAAGGAGGCTGCCCGAACCAAGTTGGGATTCGGCAAACCCCGCACCTCTCCTACGCACTGGGAGCTCGCGCCCGAGCAGGGAGCCGGAGGGGACAGGGAGAGGACGCGGGACGCTTGGGCCAAGAACTCACCTGCCGCCAAGCCGGGCAGCACAGAAGCTGCCTCTTCGCGCTGCGCACCCGCCCGCCCTCGGGTCCTCTCGCCAGCCCGCCTCTTCCTCCTTCTCCTCCTCCTCCTCCTCCCAGTTCCTAATCCTCGGGTCCGCCGCCCTGTCCTACCAGGCTGGAGGGCACCAGTCGCACCCACTCGCCCGGGTAGGAGCTGCGCGAGTCCTTCCCCCTTCCGCTCCGCTTTGTGCTTCTCTGATCCCTCCCTCCCCACCCCCTCTTGCCTAGAGCCCCCACCTCTCCCGCGTCCCCTCCCCGCCCTCCCTCCGCCTCAGAGAACCCCAGCTCGGGACAGAGGCTGTGGGCTTCCCCCATGCAGTGCCAGGCGCTCTGCACGCGCGCCCGTGGCTCACCCGGTCCGGCCGGCGCTGCCTGCCGCCTGGCCGCCCCTCGGAGGAGCGGCAGCACTAAGTAGCTCCTAGCCCAGCGTCTGGAAACGTGGCATAAATATGTAGGGACTGAGCCGTGAGCTCAGGGAGGGTCATGAGGGGGAATTTATTTCTTAATGTCCCTCCTTTATCCTATCATCACTGAAACGAATTAGCGGTGACGTCCAACCCGCCTGGTTTATGGGTGTGGGGAGGGAGACGTCGCAACCCTCATTAAAAGAGCGGCTCTGGGCTCCAAAGCATACATCTTTTATATAACCTAATTTCCATTTTTTTTCTATCAGGAAACACACACACACACACACACACACACACACACACGGACAATTTCTGGGAGCCTGGAGGGGCTGAATGTGGTAGCCACAAGGGCAGCTCTCCTAGGCAGAGAGACCCCATGGGAGGCAGGGATGGTTATTTCTGTCGCTACATCGCTACATCGGTGTTGTGATAGCATTCCTTAATGGGACAGTGGGGTGCACAGCCTCTCCTGGGCAGGGCTGGGAGCTCCCAGGAACCCCCAGGAGATGCTGCCCGAGTTCTGGTACTGGCTCTTGGGTGGGTAGACAGAGGGCTGGCAGCCGGCTTTGGAAATGCTCCCTTGTTCTGGTCTCCCCTGGAGCAGGACTTAAGTCTCCATGCTGGGGAGGAGGGAGCAGGGAAGGGACAGGCTCACCTGTGGCCTGGTAGACCCGCAGGTGTGGAGAGGCGAAGGGCAGGGCTGGGCTGGGGGAGGGGAAGATGCAGAAAACCAAGCTCTCCTTCCTTTCTTAGGGACCCTAGCATATGGGTAACCATCTAAACCCATCTCAAAAACTGTCTTTTCCTGGGCAGATTGCACAGAATTTTGCATTTTACTGTTGCTGCTGTTCACACGCTCTTGGGGAACTGGGGAAAATCAAGGAAGGAGAGGGGAATACACACTCAGCAGCTGGCCCTGGGTGACTTGATCTTGCCTCCCGCCAGCCTCACCCAGGGGAGCAAGCCCACTCAGGCTCGGAGCTGCGCCAAGACAAGGGAAAGAGGAAGCACCAGCCCCCTTTGTCACTAATAAACGCTTTCAGACTGTCTTGCACATCAAGCATGAGAGAAGGGGTGTGACTTCAGGGGCAGGAAGAGGGGTGTGGGGGTGAGGAGGGGAGGGAGGATAAAGAGTAAGCCGGCAGGGGTGCATGGAGGTCTGTGTAGTCTTCCATATGCTGGAAGAAAGATGTGAGAAATCCCTCTCGGACCCTGGGCTGTGCCACTTCTGACTGTGCCACAGGGGCAAGTTCTGGAGCCTCAGTTTCCCCCGTGGTGAAATGGGCCTGAGGTCGTGGTGGAGACGCGTACAGTAAGATGGTAGTGCAAACTGCTTGGCATAGTGCCTGGCATATAGTAAATGCTCAGTAAACAGAAGCCAAAAATAGTCATGACGATGAGAATAAGAACAGCGACATTAAGGCTGGACGGGGCATCCCGGGGAAGCCGGGCCGAAGCCCAGTCCTTCTCCCCGGAGCCCTGCTTCCCCTGCCTGAACCCTTTCAAAGTTGAGTGCTGGGCTTCAGTGGTGTCAGACTCAGAACACCGCTCCCCTTAATTACCATGGCAACTGGGGAAAATCAGAAAGCCAGGGGGAAGGGAAGCTGTTCTTCCACTGAGCTGGTGGTTCACCTGCTCCAAACAGGGACCATGGCTGCCGTGTTCAGGTCCGGCCAGCAGTGGCCCCAGGTGGAGACGCCTCCTATCCTGGAGCCCCCGCTGTTCTGAACTGGGGAGGAGGGCGGCTGCCACACAGGGCGGCTGCCACACAAGGGCAGCCATGAGATGGTGGGGTCAGGGTCAAGGCTGGGCTGTGCCCGAGGAAGGCAGAGTTGGCCTGGATTCAGGGAGAGGAGGGCAGAAACCCACGCCCCTCACTCTGTTCTCACCATCAGGTGTCCTGGTGCAACTGAGAGCCCAGGTGGGGGCTGGTCATCACACGGGTATGTGTGTGCGTATGCGAGAGAAAGACATGGGCAGAGAGAGAGAGAGAGAGGAAGGCGGGAGGGAGGTAGACTCCCTTCCCTCATTCTGGTTGTTTCTGTAGGGTTAGGGGACTTACCAGTTGTAGCGGTAGAGAAAAGATTGGCTAGATTGTATCGAGCACTTAATATTTCACCAGTCTTGAGCCAAACATTGTATAGGAACATCTCATTGACTCATCGTAAAAATTGCAAAGGATGATTCCTTTTCTTATTCCCATTTTACAGAGGGGAACTCAGAGGCTCGGAGAGGCGGTGACTCGCTCCGGGTCACCCAGTGAATCAGGGTAAAGGAACTATCTGGTCCTAGTGACCCCAGATCAGGGCTCCTCCTGCCTCCCCACGGCCATGGAAAGGCGGGTGATGATTCAGAGCATCTTTCAGGCTGGCAGGGGAGTGTCTGGCTTTTGGGGACAACCCCCTTTCACTCGTGCTGGGCCATGACTCCAGAGGGCTTCACCAACTGGTGCTGAGAGACCAGACTCGTAGGCACGTGGTGGCCCTTGGTCTGGGCAGAGTCCTGCTCCTGGGCATGATGGCTCTTGAAGTCTTCCCTCTGAGAGGCTGCCTGGGCATTCGCTCTAACATGATTCCCCCAGGACCCCCTTTGTCTTCAGGGGAAGATGTCCATACCACCACCTTTTCCCGATCCCAGCAGCTGAGACCCATCCAGGGCTCGGCACAGAGCAAGCTCTCCCTTAAGTGGTCACCATGATAACAGTTAATTCTTGGATCTTCTCTCGTGCTTACTGCCTCTGTCCGTGTGGACGGCGGGTGGATAAAAGGCCTCTCCCAGCCGAAGAAAGGCGGCCCCCCTGCCCACCCCTTGCCACCTGAACGGGAACCAGTCCTCACTCAGTGGCACAGAGGGGGCACTGTCTCCAGCAGAGGGCCTCTGGAGGGGCACTGTTTCTGGCAGAGCCAAGGGGAGGAGAGGGAAGGAGGTTCGCCGACGTGGCTGCCACTGAGGGGGTAATACATTATCCAGGGCTAATGAAAACATAATTATCTTCTTTTGGCTGCAGAGAAGGGCTAATTTAATAGGCTGCGATCGAAAGGCATCTGCTGAATTCACCCAGCAGTGAAAACACTTGAAGGGCTTGAGTGGCGGGGGCAGCGGGCACAGCGTGGCTGGCTCGGTCCTGCAGCTGTGTCAAGGTGGCAGCTGCCCCAGGGGAGGGAGACATGGGGGTGCAGGGCAGAAGGCGCAGAGGGGTTGTGGCAGCTGACAGGCGTCCTATGAACAGGCAGACTGCACTACGTTCCTGCTAGGTGATCTTGGGCCACTTCTTTGCGTCTCTGAGCCTCAGTGTTCTCGTCTGTAAAATGGGGTCTATCCTGCCTCCCTCCCTCTGCCTGGGAGGAATAGATGAGAAATGTGAGAGGCATCCTGGGACAGTCTCAGTAAGTGTTTGGCGAAATTTTCTCCTCTCTGGCGCGTGGCTGGGCCAGTTCCACTTAGAGGTCTTAGCATCCCTTTGGGGATGCCACTGTCCTGAGCTCCCACGGTGCCTTTCATAACACAGCACACTTTGGAATACGCGCTTCTTCAATGCTGGGCTAAGAAGAGTCCACGAGGGCGGGGCGGGTCCGCCTGTTTCCCCCCCAGCCGGTGCTTCTCCAGGCATGCTCCCTGGACCAGGGGCCTCGGCGCCCCTGGAAACTTACTAGAAATGCCAGTTCTTCAGACTGGGGGGAGTGGGGTTGGGGGACAGGGTGGAAAAAGTGAAGAGATTGAGAAGTACAGATTGGTAATTACAGATAGTCACGGGGATGTAAAGTAGAGCATAGGAAATATAGTCAGTACTATTGTAATAACTGTATGATGCCAGCTGGGTACAGGAATTACCAGGGGGACACTTTGTAAAGTATATGTTGTCTAACCACTATCCTGTACACCTGAAACTAATACAAAATGATATTAAAACATTTTTTTTCTTTTATTGATTTGAGAGAGAGGAAGTGGGCGAGGGAGAGAGAGAGAAACATCGATGAGAGAGAACATCAATTGGCCGCCTCCTGCATGCCCCCCACTGGGGATCGGGCCCACAACCTGGGCATGTGCCCTGACTAAGAATCAAACTGGTGACCTCTTGGTGCAGGGTCAACGCCCCACCACTGAGCCACACCAGCCGGGCACAAAATAATATTGAATTAAAAAAAAAGAAAAGACATGCCAATTATTGGGCCCTGCCCAGACCTGCTGAACCAGACACTCAAGTTGGGGCCCAGCATCTGTGTGTGACACAAGCTCTCCAGGAAATCCCGACCCATGTTCAAGCTTGAGAACCTCTGCTCCAACTCAGAACCGAATTGGTGTTTGTTGAACAAATGAGGGACCCAGCTATGTAGCAACAACTCTCCCTGTTAGTCATCAACTGTACGCCAAACCCAGTGTATTATGTCATCAACTGTACGCCAAACCCAGTGTATTATGTCATCAACTGTACGCCAAACCCAGTGTATTATGACATCAACTGTACGCCAAACCCAGTGTATTATGTCATCAACTGTACGCCACACCCAGTGTATTATGTCATCAACTGTATGCCACACCCAGTGTATTATGTCATCAACTGTACACCAAACCCAGTGTATTATGTCATCAACTGTACGCCAAACCCAGTGTATTATGTCATCAACTGTATGCCAAACCCAGTATATTATGTCATCAACTGTACGCCAAACCCAGTGTACATGTCATCAGCTGTACGCCAAACCCAGTGCATATATCATCAACTGTACGCCAAACCCAGTGTATATGTCACCGGACCCTGCCAGCCACCCTGTTATTCATCCCACACCATCCCCTACACTCGTCCAGCCTCTGTCCTGAGTTGAAGGCCCAGAGGGGATGTTGAAAGAGCCAGTAGGTGCCTTCTGTGCGCCCCCCGCTCTACCCTTACCCCCCCCCCCAGGTCCTCTGCTTCCGGAAAAGAATCCAGCATTCAACCCTGTGCCTGAACACTTGGCTAGGGAAGTCACTCCGAAGTGCTTATGGAGGGCTGTGCCTAGCGGTCAGCATTGCAGTTAGAGAGGGAGGGACAGCACCATGGAAGGGCCCTTGGAGACGGCTGTCCCCAGCCCGGTAGTTTACACATGGGGAGGCCAAGGTCCAGGGAAGTTGGTGATTTATCCAAGGGCAACAGCCTGGCGGTGGCCCATCAGACCCCTGTCCTGGCTCCCAGATCAGGATGCGGGTTCTGGGGCCCCGAGTGGGGGGCATCACCACAGTGCCCGGGGAGCCTACAGGA